GGCTGAGATCTGAGGAGATCGTAGTCCAAAGCCAGCCTGGGCAGGAAAGTCTGGGAGACTCTTATCTCCAATAAACCACTAGAAAACCAGAAGTGGTACTGTGGCTTAAGTGGTAGAGCGCTGGCCTTGAGCTGAAGAGCGCACCCAAGTCCAGAGTTCAAGCCCATGACCGACCAAAAAAAAAACCTAGAGCTTTACCACCATAGTCTCATGGACTCTCTTACCCTGGCTGGCTTTGAACCACAATCCTCAGATCTCAGTCTCTTGAGTAGCAAGGATTACAGATAGAAGCCACCAGCACTTGGCTGATATTGATATTTTAACAGTTATATCCAGGCTGTTATCAGGCTGAAAGTCAACTTGACTTTCCCAGACTGCTCACTTTTTTTGAGCATGTTGCAAGAAGCATTTTTTTTAGAGGTACTACCTCCTTCACTTATATACCATAGTGCATCAGGACATAAATGCTTTATACTGTGTCATCTCTGAAATTCTAGGGTCTGTCACCAGTACATAGTAGGTGCTTAGAAAAATGGCCTACTGGATGTAGTCCCTGGCCTCCACATTCACTTTCACCCTTCCTCTAGATCCTGGAAGAGACCCCACATCTGCTTCTGGGGTTCTGAGGCCTCCCCATTGAAGCTTAGTTGGCTATGGGTAAGCTTGCAGGCTCAGGGGTCATATTAGGACATTTAGGTTGCAGCTCTGTCACTTACCAGCTGTGTGACTTTGAGAAGGCCTCTGAGCCCTGATTTTATCTGTCAGAAAACAGAGATAATCATAACCTTTATCTGTAGGGTGGTATTTTCATCTGAGGATAAAACAGATGATAAATACATAACCCAGTTGGCCCAGTGCTCAGCCTAGGGAGCTCTCAGTGAATGGTTACAAAGAAGTCCCTCCCCCTCTGATTATTTTCTTGCCCAGCTTCAGAGAGCTGGCAGCCTGCCCACCTGCTTTTCCCCTAGCCTTCAAGAACCTCCTGAAGAATCCTCCTGACAGCTGGTTTCCAGCTGCCCTTCTACTCACGTCCTCTCTCCTTACCACTGACCACCCCACTCACTATGGAGTCTCCCTCTTATCCCAAAGCTCTCCTCCCTCCTGCCCCTCTTGCTTCCTCTCCCCGCTTTATCCCCATCACCTGGGCCAGAGCTCAGTCAGGCTGGAAATGAGGACTTCCTAATTTTCATAGAGACAGAGGTGGACTGACTAAAGATCTAATTTTAGGCTCCTGTCTTCCCAGGGGAGCCTGACTCTCATCTCAGCTCCTTTGCAGGAGAATAAGTGAGTTTTTGTTTTTTGTTTTTGTTTTTGCCAGTCCTTGGGCTTGAACTCAGGCACTGTCCCTGAGCTCCTTTTGCTCAAGGTTAGCACTCTATCCCTTGAGCCACAGTGCCACTTCCGGCTTTTTCCTGTGATCAATTGAATATAAGCGTCTCACAGACTTTCTGCTCACGCTAGCTTTAAACTGCAATCCTCAGATCTCAGTCTCCTGAGTAGCGAGGTTTATAGGCATGAGCCACTGGCACCCAGTGAATGAGTGAATTTTAAACGATTAAATAGAATGCCTTCAGAACTCGTAAGCCAAAGTGTATCGGGTCCACTCCACTGTCCCAGCCTTATACCACCTCCCCTCAAGGGCTGAGGACCAGTTGCTGCCCAGCCTGGAAAGCACTTTCCAGTACCACACCTCTCCTGGGTGACTTGTTTTATTTTAAAATGTCTGAAACCTGTCAGAAACTTGAAGGAATAGTATGATGAACATCTAAGCACTTTTTTTAACCTAGATTCATCAGTGGTTCATATACTACATTGTTGTTTTATCTTTCTGTGTAGACATGCACATGTACACAAACAATACACATATTTCGTGTGTGTGTGTGTGTCTGTGTGTGTGTGAGAGAGAAAGAGAGAGAGAGAGTTTGGGATTTGAACTCAGGGCCTGTGTGCTGTCCCTGAACTTTTTTTGCTCAAGGATACCACTATACCACTTGAGCCAGAGCTCCACTTCGGGTTTTTTTGTGGGCATAGTTTATGGAGATAAGAGTCTCACTTTCCTGCCCTGGCTGGCTTTGAACTGATCCTCCGAGCTCAGCCTCCTGAATAGCTAGGATTACAGGCCTGGCTTGTAATTTATTTCTGAAGCATTAGAAAGTAGATTTCAGACATAACATTTGACACTTCAGACTTCTATAAAACCTCAATGATCATATTTGAAGAATTTAGCATTAATAATACACAATCCATCAGCAGAATTTCCCAATGTTCCCAATATGTCTTTTCTTTTTTTGTGTGTCATTCCTGGGACTTGAACTCAGGGCCTGACCACTGTCCCTGAGTGTTTTTGTTCAAGACAAAAAAAAAAAGTATCCTCAGATCTCTCCTGTCTCTTCCTAAGTGCTTAGCTTACCTTCAAACATTGGGGCTTAGTGAATTCTCCCTCCTTAGCCTACTAAGTGCTAGACCTATAGGCGTGAACCACTGTGTCCAGCTTTACAGACATACTCTTATTTTACATTTTATGGTGCCAGGGATTAAGCTCAGGTCCTTCCTTGCACTCAGTAGGCCAAGCATTTCAGTATGAAGTAACAACCTTAGCCCTTGTTTTTTGTTTTCTGTTTTCCAGATAGTCATTTTGTAGCATAGGCCGGCCTTAAACTAGAGATTTTGCCTCTGCCTCCTAAGCACTGGGATGACAGGCCTGTGTCACCATGCCTTGTGAACATATTTTTAAACATTTGTGACTAATAAGTTATCTATGGAGGATGCTTTGAAGTCTCTAGTTCATTATAGTATTTTGGAATTCATCAATGAGCAGTACCTAAGTCTATTTTTGCATGAGTAGTTATCAAGTAATGATTTGCAGTCACTGCTTCTACGTTGACTTAGCTGTCATTCTCCTGTAAGTCACCTGGGTGATTTGTCCAAATTCAAATTGACTGTCTTTTCCTTGGAGCAGCCTAGACTGACTGAGTTCTCTCACCCTGACCCTCCTTATTCACTCTAATGGTCCCTGCTCTTTGCCTCCATTACCTTTTTCACAATTGCAATTAAATTATTGTGTCATTATTTAACATTATCTTGTCAGTGTGCACTATGAGCACCATAGAGATGGACTATTGTTGTCATGCCCACAGCTACAAGTCCAGCTTATGGCCCAGTATCTGGTGCATAGTGATTGCTCAATAAGTATTCGTTGAATTAAATGGGCATAAAATCCCTACTCTTCCCACTCTTGGGAGGGAAGGAAAATATTTCTGCTTCAACTCCATCCCTAATTTTGTATTTGTTGTGATGGTGTAGGAGTGACACAGTAACTGTGTATTCTTTTTTGAGCCTTAAACTGAACCTACTACTTGGGGACAGAGAGTCCCAGATTAGAGGAATCCATAAGTAATGACTGACCTGGCAAAAATTGTAAAGTTGTTGGTATGTTTATATACCACAATAACAACAACAGGGGCTGGGAAGGTGGCTCAGTGGTAGAGCGCTTGCCTTGCATGCCGGAGGCCCTGGGTTCGATTCCTCAGCACCACATAAGCAAAAAGAAAAAAAGCCGGAAGTGGCGCTGTGGCTCAAGTGGTAGGTAGAGCACTAGCCTTGAGCTGAAGAGCTGAGGGACAGCGCCCAGGCCCAGAGTTCAGGCCCCATGACCGGACCCCAAAAAAACAAAAAAACAACAACAATAACAACAACAACACACATACACACAATTGCATCCCTTCAAAGCCTTTCCTGCAGCCTCCTTTCTTCTAATCTAGTCAGGCAAGAACTGTTTATTAAGGAACTTCTCTGTGCCAGATGGTACCAATAGTTAGCAACAAGTTAGATTGGATATGTCTGTCAGGGATGTTTCCTTTTTCCCCTCTGCAAATGAAAATAATTCAATCTTTGAGTCCCTTTTCCCAACCCCCCTCACAAACAGCATGGGAATTAGCACCATGGGAAAAAATCTAAATGGAATAGAAATTCCTTGGGGCTCCTTTTTTTTTTTTTGCCAGTTGTGGGCCTGACCTCTGGGCCTGGGCACTGTCCCTCAGCAATTCAGCTCAAGGCTAGTGCTCTACCACTTGAGCCACTGCGCCACTTTCGGATTTTTCTGCTTATGTGGTGCTGAGGAATCGAACCCAGGGCCTCATGCATGCAAGGCAAGCACTCTACCACTGAGCCACCTTCCCAGCCCTTTTATAGTGTAATAGTTTAAAAAATTATGGTTCACATCATGTTGGTTTCCATGCATAAAGCCTCTAAGCATCCCAATGAGGTCCAGGTGCCAGGCTTCCCACTGGGTACTTTAGTAGAGGCTGATACAAGGCCTGCCTCCCCGAAGTCAGGTTTTGATAGAGGAGTCACAGTCACAGGTGACCATGTTACCCATGGGCAGGCACCTGACTCTGCCTGGGTAAGTCTAAGGATCGCCTTAGATAAACTTCACTCTTGCTGCCAAGGTAAAGGCCAAGGACTGACATTCCAGAGAACCACATCCACCCACCCAGGACGCTCAGCAGGAGGGAGCCTGAGGGACAGGGAGGAGCCTGGGGGAAGGGCTGATGAGTGGAGCTGCAGAGGGCAGTATGATAAAATAGGAAGGGCATCTGAGGTGCCCATGGATTTTATTCTGAGGGTTTAGGAATTCCTTTCTCACTACCCCAGGGTCTCTTAGGGTCTCCTGCCTCTCCTCTTTGGTTCTCTCTGGTTCCAACCCTTTCTCTAACTCTTAAATATTCTCTCCCATTTCCTTCTTTTCCTGTCCTCTGGAGAGTCTCTGGACAGTAAGCCACACCCTCTTATGGGATACAGTTCATTAGATGCCCTTAAGACACTACTGGTTTGCAGATCTGACTTCTGACAGATTCTGTAAGCTCCTCTGACTCCACTCGAAGGTTGTGGGTGTGGGGTGGGAATAGGACAGTAGACTGGGGAACCCTAGGAGGGGGCTGTAGGGGTAGGGAGCAGCAGGGCTGGCCTGGGACACTGCTCACCATCTGTTTTCTCTCCAGTTCCCAAAATGGTGATGAAACTGGCACCTGGCCCAACAACCAATTTGACACAGAGATGCTGCAAGCAATGATCCTGGCCTCTGCCAGTGGTAAGTGTGGTGGGATGGGGGTGTGATGTGGGTGGGATGTGTGGAGGGCTAGGAGTACCTTCCACAGCCACTGTGGCTCAATGCTGTTTTTTGTTTGTTGGTTGGTGGGTTATTTTGCCAGTCCTGGGGCTTGAACTCAGGGCCTGGGAACTGTCCCTGAGCTGCTTTTTGCTCAAAGCTGGCACTCTACCACTTGAGCCACAGCGCCACTTCTGGTCTTTTCTGCTTATGTGGTACTGAGGAATCAAACCCAGGGCTTCATGACTGCTCAACAAGTACTCTACCACGAAGCCACATTCCCAGCCCTCAATGCTGGTTTTCTACCTGGTTAACAATGGTTTCTGTAGGTCTTGCAGCTTGTCAGAGAGGCTCCATGATTTCAGGTCATAGATTCAAGCTAAGGGACAGCAGAGAGATTAGGGGCTCTGGGATGCTCAGAGTGGCAATTTATCAAAAAGTGGGGGTAGTAGTTACCAGTCTAACTTTAGAAGGAGACAGCAAGGTCAGGTCCTAGGTATAGTTTTTACCATCCTGTGACTTTAATCAGTTTGCTCAATTTCCCCAGGCAAGAAAATGGGGATTGATGAGAATGTTGAAAGAGATGACATTGATCACCATGCATTGTATTCATCAACTGCTTTGTAGAATGAATGGCAACTCCTTTGTACAACTACGTAATGATAATAAAGAAATTTATATTAAAGCTTTTTTTAAAAAAAGAAATTGGAGATAGGCTGAGTGTAGTGGTGCACATCTGTAAATTCCAGCATTCAGGAAGTGGATTGTGAATTAAAAGACCAGCCTGGAAGCCGGGCACTGGTGGCTCACGCCTGTAATCCTAGCTACTCAGGAGGCTGAGATCTGAGGATCACGGTTCAAAGCCAGCCCGGGCAGGAGAGACCGTGAGACTCCTATCTCCAATAAACCACCAGAAAACCGGAAGTGGCGCTGTAGCTCAAGTGGTAGAGCGCTCGCCTTGAGCTGAAGAGCTGAGGGACAGCGCCCAGGCCCAGAGTTCAAGCCCCACGACCGACAAAAAAAAAAAAAAAAAGACCAGCCTGGGCTACATAGGACTTGGTTTTTCCACAGGTGAACAAATTGCCCATGTGTACTATAGACCTAGCTAGTGGTGGCTGTCCATAAAGAATCACAAGGGTCATGAGCAGAGGAAAAAGAATCATATCATTAGTGTCTAAGAGCACAGGTTTTGAAGCTGGCCAACCTGGGATTTAGATCTTGGTATTAACACTTGGCTGTGAGGCCTTAGGTAAGGAAGGTATGAAGCCCCTCTGGGCCTCATCTGCATTTACTATATGAATAGATCTTGGAAAGTGGCGCTGTGGCTCAAGTGGTAGAGTGCTCGCCTTGAGCTAAAGAGCGCAGGGACAGTGCCCAAGCCCAGAGTTCAACCCCACGACTGACCAAAAAAAAAGATAGATCTCATGGTAATGTTGTGAGGGCATCATATCCAGCCGTCAGCAAGGTGACAGAGAATAAATGCACAATACATGGTGGTTATAACAGACTACTCATTATGTTCATTGACCTACAGAGCTAAAGGTCAGATTTAGAATAATGCCTATTAATAAGGACTAGTGGAACAGCAAATGGGAGCTTTACAGGGAGGCTGGTGAAGGTTAAGGCACTGAGAGCCATGTGCTGCAGCCAACCTGGAGGATGAGTGGGTAGAGAACCCAGAGAAATAGCACTGTAACCATGCAGGGCACATGCTAAACGGACTTTCACATCTCTACAGTTTCATTTCCACAGTTTGCAAGCTAGGTCTGATTATTTACACTTGAAAGAGGGGGAACATGAGATGTCACTTTCCTCAAGGCCCAAAGTTCTGAACTGTCCAGCTGCCACTCTAACCCGGCTCTATGCCCAAGTTCACACCCTTTCTACTACAAGCAATCTCTGCCTTTAGATCCAGCCTCAATTTCCCCCCCTCTCAGCTTACTTGATCTAGAGGCTGACCTAATGATTTACATTCTTCTTCCAGATTAGGGTTGCCAGATAAAATATAGGATGCCCAGTGAATTTCAGATAAATAAGTGCTATATTATCATTAGTACATTTCAAAATGTCAAATGAGACAGACTACTCAAAAATTACTCGTCGTTAACCTGAATGCAAGTATAATTAAATGCCCTAAGTTTCTATATGCCATTTTTCTGGCAACTCTGCCCTAGATGTCTGTGAGGGTAAATGGGGTCAGGGCTATGGATGACCAGAGAACAGGGACAGAGACCACAGAAGGTACAGGTGGCAGGGGCTGTTAGCCTCTGGGGCAGAGCTCTCCCAGATCTGGTGGGGCCTGTGACCCTTTGAGAGGCCAGATACTCAGTAAGTATGAAAGAGACAGGAGGCTGGGTCTGGGGAGATGCCAACTCTGGCTCTTGAGGGAAGTAAACAGGACTATTTAGCTTTTGTGGCCTTGAGGCCTTTTTCTGTCTCTAAGGCCAGAAAACAGGCCTTTTAGCCTAAATCCAGATGTTAAAAACTTAAATGGAAGCTATATTTATGGCTCAAAACCTTCCGGGAAGGTCTCACTAGAGCTGAGCCAAGGCAGCACGCTCCCCTGTCAGACTCCACCCTCCCTGCAGCCTACCCTGGGCCTGACCCAAGGCAGAGCCTGGGCCCTGGGGAATGGGCTTGGGGTGGATGTGGTAGGGTCAGGGCCTGCCCTCACTTTCACACCTACTTCCTAGGCTCCTGGAGTGGAGCCCAACCAGGCCTGGCTGGCTGCAGAGGGGAGAGGGAGACTTCCTTAGGAGACTTTAAAAAATACTCAGGGGAGCTGTGCTCCCAAGGAGGCTGCAGTTTGCAGCTTCTCCAGCTCTGAGCCAGCTTGATGAGGCCTTCCTGGCTTTGCCTCAGCCTGGACTGGGAAGGTTGGGAGGCCAGGGGACAGGTGGTAACCTGGCCAGGGGACAGGTGGTAACCTGGAGCTGGATAGGAAGCCAGCATCTCCACACCTTTTCCAGCCAGAAGCTATGCCTAGAATAAGGTCTTGGAAGAAAGGAGGACATACGAGAAGGAGCTACTGAAGAACCCATTTCCAGAGGGCCAAAGGTGGCAGAACAATGTCTTTCCTCCTGATGGGGAAGCTGAGAAGCGTTGCTTGAGTGATCCAGGGTCTGGACCTAGAGCACACAGTTCCTAATGGCATGGTTAATCAGACACAGTGTCAGTCTGTTATACTCTGGATTCCCCACTTTTCTCTGCCTCTTGATCCATCCCAATTTCATGGAATCCCATATGATGGGGTTGCTTTGTCCTTTTTGCCTATTATGGATGCTTCTCAGAGATCTTGGGTGCATGTAGGATGTGAATGGACCACTGGGTCCACACTTCCTTTCTCTGTCTCCCTTCTCTGTTTCTACACCTTTCTAGCTCTGTCTCTTGTCTCTGTCTTTCTCTGTTTCTATCTCTCTCTGTCCTTCCTCCAGTTTCTTAGTCTCACACTTTCTGGCGCCTCTTTGGCCTCTCCTGAAGCCCCTAAATCACTCTGAAATCCTTGCTCTTTGAAGCCTGATCTCAGCCCTTCCCCCTTCCATTCTCAGGCGGCAGCGGAAGCTGCCAGTGGCTGGCGGCTAGAGGGGAGGGGCTGGCTTGAGAGGACTGGCTCCCTCCTGGAGTTAATTAGGGAAAACGAGGAAAAGTCAAGGAATACAAAGGCTAGGGGAGGGAGTGGAGGAAGTGGGCAGCTGCGCTCTCCCACCCGGGCCCTCTTCCTGTACCCCACCCCCTCCAGAAGGCTCTCAGCTTCCACAGCTTGGGGATTTGAAAATGGAGGCTGTGGAAATGCTGGCACTGGGATGTGTTGATAGAAAAAGACTGAAGTGTATCTCTGCACTTCCTTCTCTTAACCCTCCCTTTCTTGCATTCTCTCTGTTACCCAAACATCAAAAATATTTCCTGCCTTTCCATTTCTCAATCCCTGGTTAGTGTCCCAGGATTACTCAGCTTCTCCAGCTTTAGTCAGTCTCTACTCGATCCCAAGGTCTGTGGTGGGAGCCAGGGGAGGCTGGGAGGAGCTCCCTGGGCAGTACCTTCCTAGGGCTTTAACTCTGCTGGGCCTCAGAGGAGGAATTAGGGTGAGCACAGGGAATTAGCAGTGAGCACAGAGTCAAACTGTCTCTTCCAGCAACCTCTGCACTTCCAGGGAGAGTGGAGGCCATTACACTGAGGAGGATGACAGCTATGACAGCAGCAGGTAGCATTTATTGAGGAGTTACTAAATGCCAGACACTGGATGAAGCACAGCCTCCTTTAATCTTCACCCAGAACCTGTGATCCATTTCCCTGTCTTTCAACATCCACCATATACACAAAGCACCCAGAGACCTTGCTCTTTTGCAACCCTATTAGGGAGTGTGAAAGGGCCCAAGTAAGCTAGGGCTGTGATATATACTCCTCTGCATGGTAGTAGGAAGTTACTGACAATGATCTCTAATGTCACCAGGCTCAGACACTCAAGCTTATATCTGCACTATACCTAAGCTGTCTGGTCCTTGGGATTGTAGTCTTCTTAGTCTCACAGAATACACTGCCTCTCTGCCTCTGTTCTATCTCCTTTGTCTTTTGGAGAAGGTGTAAGGTTCACGCTGCTGGCAATGACAGAAATGACTTTCCTCCAGCACACACTTGGATATTACTAGGCCTGAGTCCTGCTGTAACATATACTGTCTGGTATGGCCTTCTATCTTCCCTCGAGAGCCAAAATCACTGTTGAATCCGAGCTTGTTTCTCTCTGTTTTTCTTTTGTGTGTGCTGGTTGTGAGGGCTTGAACTCATGGCCTGGGTACTGTCCCTAGGTGTTCTTCCCCTCCCCCACCCTTCTCAAGGCAAGTGTTCTACTATTGTGGGCCACAGTTGCACTTCTGGCTTTTTTTGGTACTTACTTGGAGATGAGTATTGGGGTGGCCCCCCCAAATTGGGGTCTGTGATCAGAGGAACGAGACTGAAACAAAGCGAAAATCAGACAAAACTATATTTCATGCCAAGCATCTAGAAACAGACTGACCTGACCGGTCAGGGCCGCCTTGGTAGAGAGCGAACCTAGCCCAGCTGCACAGGCTAACTTTTATAAGGGAACAGCGCATGCAGTTTAGGCTGGCCACACGCAGGTGGCCAGTAGCATTGCAACACTCGCACAAAATTACAGTTACGTTGGGCCACATGCAGGTGACCAATGAGGTTACAACTTATCTCTAAGCAGTTGCTTAAACTAGCCTACCACTTTGGTCAGTTTTGGCGCGCGGGTTTGGCCTGGGTGGAGGAGGATTGGGGAGAGGGGGATGCATTCCTTGGTGGGGGGGTGTTACATATGTGCTCCTTAATGACGCATCCACCTGGCCTTTAGGCTCTGTTACCAGAGACTTGCAATCCACATTTTTCCTAAACTTGTAAACAAGATGGATGTTTAACCAGGGTGGAGTCACATAGGCTCACTGGGTCCTAACATTAAGATTGGGTCCCAACAATGAGTGTCATGGATATTTGCTGCCCAGCTTCAAACTGAGATCCTCAGATCTCAGTTTCTTGAGTAGTTGGGATTATAGGGGTGAGCCACTGGCATCTGGCAAGGAATCGTGACACTTTGATGCTGGATCTCAACTCTTCCCCTTTCTATTCCCAGGTCAGAAGGAAGCTAGGAATTGTAATAGTCAAATTACACCAGAAAATGAATGCTTGAGACTGGCAAAGTGGTATAATACATACCTGTAATCCTAGCTCTTGACAAACAGAGGCATGAGGTTTGTAAGCTTCAGGCAACTAGCCCTGGCTACATAATGAGTTCCAGACTAGTTTGGGCTACAAAGACTCTATCTTAAAGAACAAAAGAAAGAGCTGGGCGCCTGTGGCTCATGCCTGTAATCCTAGCTACTCAGGAGCCTGAGATCTGAGGATTGCGGTTCAAAGGCAGCCCGGGCAGTAAAGTCCATGAAACTCTTATCTCCAATAAACCACTAGAAAATCGGAAGTGGTGCTGTGGCTCAAGCGGTAGAGGGCTCGCCTTGAGCTGAAGAGTGCAAGGACAGCGCCCAAGCTGAGTTCAATCCCCACGACCGACAAAAAAAAAAAAAAAAAAAAAAAAGAACAAAAGAAAGCCTGTAAGCACACACACACACACACACACACACACGCACACGCACACACACACACACCAGAACTATGGTTAATAATATATATCACAAGCACTGGTCAGGGAAAGATAAGAGTGAATACCAACTACTGCCTAGTATGGAAGCTAGAGTCTCCTACACAAAAAGTGAGGGCAAAAGTTTAGGGCCTGGGGGTCCACCCTGAGAGAGAGCTACTAGCTAGCAGGTTATGAGCACTTACCCTTCACCAGGTGCTATTTAGGTAATTTACATAGAATTTCTTGTTTAGTTTTCACAAAAACCATGGATATGCTTTCTTGCCTCCATTTTGCAGATCATAATACTAAGGTGGTTAGATAAACTTCTATAGGATCACAATAAGAAAAAGAGCTAGAAGCGAGGCCTTGGTAGCTCATGCCTGCAATCCTAGCTACTCAGGAGGAAACCATCTAGAGGATCATAATGCGAAGCCAGCCCAGACAGAAAAGTCTGTGAGATTCCATCTCCAAAACAACTAGCAAAAAGCTAGGCTAGAAGCATGGTTCAAGTGATAGAGTGGTAGTTGAACAAGCAAACCAAGCAAGGTTAAGAGCCTGAATTCACAAAATAAAAACAAAAAACAAAACACCCCTAGAAATCAAACCTAGGTTTTGTCACTGTACTTGCTGATCCTTTCTTTGTCTTTGCAGAGGCTGCTGATGGAAGCTCCACCCTGGGAGGGGGTGCTGGCACTATGGGCTTGAGTGCTCGCTATGGTCCCCAGTTCACCCTGCAGCATGTGCCTGACTACCGCCAGAATGTCTACATCCCAGGCAGCAATGCTACACTGACCAATGCAGCTGGCAAGCGGGATGGTAAAACCCCAGCAGGTGGCAATGGCAACAAGAAGAAGTCTGGCAAGAAGGAGAAGAAGTAGTGTGGAGGCCAGGCCTAAAGCCACAGGGCAGCCTCCCTCCCCAACCAGCTCAGCTTCACCTTACCTGTACCCAGGTCTCAGAATTCCAGGGCTCACCCCCAGGATATTGGTAGGGGCCAAGGCCATGCTCCCCTTGGGAAACAGAAACAAGTGCCCAGTCAACACCCCCCCTTTCTCTGCCCACAGGGGGGGTTGAATATGCAAGGGGAGTTCTGCTGGGAACCCCCATCCAATCAATTGCTGTATCTGTGGGGGTTGTGGGGGCAGTGTAGACACTAAGTACCATTTGTCACACGCCCTTTAGTTTCAGCTGAACTCCTCCATCTTCCAACTCAATTAGGCCATTTGTCCCCTGCCTCCCTCCTCCCCATCCCATCTTACTCTTAAAAGTTCCCTTGAACAAGGTGGTTGGGGGGTGTTGAGGCACCAGGTAACCTAAACAGGCTCATGGTTCTGAAGTTGGAAGAGCATCAAGACCTCTTGGCCTCTCCTCCAGTTTTCAATTTTCCCCCAAAGCAGGGTTTGGTGCCAACCCTTTCACCTCCTTCTAGAGCAGAGACTCATGGTCAAGTTTTGGGGGATACAGTCACCATCCCCATGGTACTGATACTTGCTGGATTTAGGGAAGGCATTTTGCCACCAAGCCTCTTCCCAATGCCCTGGGGACCAGTCTTCTGTTTTTCATTGTTTGATGTTCCCAATGCATGCTGTGACTTCCCTAGCACTCCTCTAACAAGACTACATTGCATGTTCTGAGACAGTAGGGGGTGGTAAGATAAAGAAGGGAAGTGTATGTATATGGCTGGGGGGGATGGATGAAGGTTGGCCCAAGGTTACCAGGGGCTTGCAGAAGGCTCTGTATGTCCCCGAATACTAGCCAAATCCTCAAATTCCAGCCATAAACACGTACTAGGCTGGATCCTCCACCTTCTATATTGGGTTCAGCCTAGGCAGCCAGCTTTGGGGGCTGAGCTACCGGGACCAATGGATTTAAACTGGCATTTCAGTCCAAGGAAGCTCTGAGTGGATTTAGGGTCAGGTCCTCTGGAGAGGTCAGAGGAACCTCTGTGGGTGCTGGGTACTCCAGAGGTGCCCCCCAGTGGAAGGGTCAATGGAGCCCCAGTGGGAAGGAAGGCCTAAGGAGGCCATTCTTGATCCCTAGATTGGGGCCAAAGGAGCTAGTGCAGGGACCAAATGGACCGAAAGTCTCAGCCCATCATGGGGCTTCTCCAGGCAGGCTCCTTGCCCTCTTCAAGCCTGTTTTAAACTCTCCCTGCCAGGTGCCCTTTCTTCTCGGTGAAGGCCACTGCCCAGGGCCCTCCTCCGCCCCCTAGTGGCCAGAGCCTGGTTAAAGTCCCCCAGTGCCTCCTTGTGTATAGACTTTCCCCTCCCCACTCCCTTCTGCCCCTGTGGTCCCGTTCATCCAGCGGGGCCTCTAGAGAACCCTATCCCAGCCCTTACAGTATAGTGTAGAGCCCCCTCCCCCGGCTGGTGTAGAATAGCCGATAGTGTAGTGCGGTGTGCTTTTACGTGATGGCGAGTGGGCAGCGGGCGGCAGGCTGGCGCAGCCGTCTGTCCTTGAATCTGCCTGCGGCGGCCCGTGCTGTGTTTTGTGCTGTGTCCACGCGCTGCGGCGACCCCCTCCCTGGTACTGACTCTTCTATAAGCGCTTCTCTTTGCATAGTCACGTAGCTCCCACCCCCATTCCCTTCCTGTATCTCACGCAAGTTTTATACTCTAATATTTATATGGCTTTTTTCTTCGAACAAAAAATAATAAAAAGATTTCTTCTGAAAGGCTGGTTGTTTCTGTTGGAGAAATGGAGCCCCTGGCATTTGTGTAGGAAAAAACAGGTTTGGGAAGATGACAGTTTGAGTCTTGGTTTTGTGTCATTGAGTGTGTGTGTGTGTGTGTGTGTGAGACTGAGAATGTCGCCGTGTCTACGGCTATCCAATATGGCTGTGCGTGCTTCCTACACCTTTGTGCATCTGTAACTGTGCGATGGGCTGGAAGAGTGCTTGTGCACCTGAATGCCGCGTGTGATGGGCTGGCGCGTCCGTCGTGGGGCGGGGAGCTTGCCTGCCGCGTGTCCGTGTGCAATTGAGTGCGCAGTAATACGCTTGCGGCTGTCTGCGTTAGGCATCAGTCTCCGGGCAGAAGAGGAGCCCCTGTGCGGGCGGGGCGGCGGTGGGGGTGGGGGCTGGTCGGCGCTGGGCCAGCAGCGCTGAGGACGCAGGGTACGCTTCCTTAGCGCATGTCCCTTTCCACTAACATTACCACCCCGCCCCCTCAGCGCACTGGCTAGGGCTTAGGAGGATGGATTCTCTCTTCCGCCTCCATCCACACACCCTCAACCCGCCCCCCGCTGCCTAGAGGCTTGGGGGAACACCGCAACGTGGGAGGGAATGAATGCAGGGGGGAAAGCGGAGGCGATTCTCTCTCCAGGCTGAGTCCATAGCCTGCGTCTCAGGTTCCCTATTTGGAATTTGCATTTCTGTTCATGGCTCTTGGAGGGCACATCTCTTTCTGGAGGGGGTAAAGAGGACTGAAAGGACGTGCAGGAAGAAATGACAGACCCAGCTCGCCCCATCCTCCCACCTCTGGGGTGCTTATCCATTCGCCCCTCCCCCCCCCCCCCCCCCCGCTCTCCCACCCCCCCACCCCTCAGAGCACATCGATTTGCTAGGTTGCTGCAGTCCCTTGAAAACGCCGAAAAGGGGAAGGAGGATCAGGAAGAGAAGGGCAGAAACGCATTGGGGTTATTAGGAGGGTCAGCGAAGGCTTGCCCAAGTACAGAGCAGGGGGAGGCGGGTCTCTGGGCTTTTCTCCATTAGGATTCTCTGAGGCAGGTTCTGCCTCCTCAGGTCTGTTGTCATGGAAACCAAGCCTTCCAACCGAGCATCTGGAGGCGACTTTCTTGCTTGGGAGGAAGGGTGGCTTGCAAGCTGAGATGGGAGCAGAGTTTTGTTTCTCTGCTGGGGTGCAAAGGGGCGGGGTGCCGGGCGCCTGGGTTCTATTCCAGGCATAGCAGCAGACAGGGAGAGCTCATGAGCAGCAGTGGTTGGTCCCCTAATTGGTATGTGTGCCTGTAAATGTCTGAGCCAGAAACCCATGGCCTGGGAGAGGAAGGGTGGAGGCAGGCAGCCACCCCCACACCTCTGGCTATAACGGGGAGGCAGCTGCCCCAGCCGGCATTGGGACTATTTAAAGGGCTTTTTAGAGGCTGCACAAGTGGGTTTGCAGTCCTCTCCAGGTCCCTCCCTGCCCATACTGACGTGCTTATTGCTGTAAGGTTTGCATGGTCCATAGTGGCAAGTCATCTGGAGTTCGACCTCTGGCTCTGACCTCTGTAAGATGAGCGCAGCTTTCCAGCCCTAGCCTTAATGCCCTCTAGCCTAGAATGTGGTCAGAGGTTCCTGAACTGCCAAGCAGGGAATGGGAATCAGATGCTCTGCTTTGCACAAGAGGCACAGGTAACCATAAGTAAACTAGGACATCTGGGGACATGGAGAAGTGAGGAGATTTAAGAATTAAAGGGCTCTAAGCCAAGAGGTAGCAATGTGGAAGAGCCAGGAAGCTGACCTGATTACCTTATTTCATTAATGAGAGAAAATGACCCTGAGGCAAGATCTGCCATTCAGAAACACCATGGAGTAATATATTGACCTGGGCCCTAGGCCCAAGTATAGTGTCTGATAGCTTTAGTTTTTGCCTAGTTTATCAGGTAAACCAGAGATGTGACACAGAAGAAGCAGAGGCACCCAGACTGGAGTGAAGAAGGCAGCTGGCACTGTTTCAATGCTTTATTAACTGTTGGAAACAAACCCATCAGACCAGAGGTGATGGCACCCCAGAAGCCCCAGAGGCGAGGCAAACAGGTTTGCGTTTGTCCCCTTACCTTTTTTTTTTTTTTTTTTATTAAATGCATCTTACTAAAGTAGATTTAAAAAAGAAAGGGCCAAAGCCCCAGATGTCATCGAGCAAGGGGAAGTTAGGTAACCCAGGGGAGCGACAGCCTTCCTGTCCCATAGTCTCTCCAGGAATCATTCAGAGGAGCTTCCAGTGCCCCTTCAGACACAAGCTTAGCAACCCAACCTTCCTTGCTGGCCACAAAGCCCCTTCTGTAGGTGCCCTCAGGTCTCCTAAGCTCCCCCTGGGCTAACAGCTCTAATTCTGGGCCAAACCCAAACAGTGCCACTCTCAGTAGCTGTGGTTTGAAAGCTGGAAGGAGCATGAGGGCAAAGCTGTCACCCTTAGCCAGAGAATGTGAGCTTCCTGATCCTGAGGTTGGGCCACCAAGCAGTTTGGTTTGCACACTATTCAGATGGGAGCAAGGGTACAGTGTGCAGGGTACCCTCTCTCACTTCCCAGCGTCTAGTTAGCATCTGCACATTTGGCTTGATAATTAATTAAATTCATAAACTGTGGCCCCAGAGCTCCTGCTATTTTGAGGACCTGGCTTAGCCCAATCAGAGGAGACTCATCTTGTCCCATAAGTGGTGCTGGGAGTGATCTGCCTTGGCCTCAGAAGTTTTAAGGGCTTGAGGCCAAGGTCTAGGGCATGTTCAGGATGGAAGCCAAAGAAGAATCCTCAGGAACTCCTGAACCTACATCAAAACCTCTTACATTATGGAGGGGGAAGGGAAAAGGAAGTTATCTTAAAAAAATTTTTTTTCATACAAAAATAGATCCATATGCAAAACAATTTCTCAGCCAGGAGGCTCCACCTCCCATATCCTTGGAGACAGAGGGTTAGGTGCTGGGATGGTGAACTATATAGCCTATCTCCAAATGAGATGCACCAAAGCTCTCTAGGGAAGGCGTGAGAAGAGACCTTGGCTCAGTGGCCTGGGGGCTGGTGCAGAGGGTCCAGGGAAGCAAGGGCATAAAGCATAGCAAGCAGCAGGCTGGGGGCAGGCCCCATGCTGTTACTATGCCCTGTGGGCTCAGGCCTGGGCCACAGTGGAACAAGTGGTCCAGAGCCTTGTCTAGAAGGTTTTTCCCAAGAAGGTGGGGTTAAGGGTGGGATTTGCTCCCCTGCTTCCTCAGAAGCAATTCCCAATGCCACAGCACTAGTAATAAATAATAGCCAGGAAGAAGAGCCGAGGTGATAGCAGTAAGACGAGGGATCTACCCATAGGTTCACAAGCCCCATGCTGTTTCTCAGGGCCAGAAAAGCACAAAATCAGCAAGATTGACCTAAGGGAATGCCCACTATAAAGTCGGGCTGAGAAAAGCAGGCTGGACCTTGCCTGAGACCAGGCCCTCTGGGTAACAGAGAGGAGACAGGGTTAAGGCAGCACACACAGACCCTGCTTTGGTAACGACAGCCAGGGCTGGCTGGGTTGGGCTCAGACCTCCCCACACTGCCCTATTCCTCTGGCCTCCAGGCAGCTGAAGCTGTAGGTGTTCAGAGGGCAGCAGGCCAGGCAGAAAGGCAGGGTCAGGTGGTAGGAACGGCCGCCTCAGAGGAATGTCCCCTTGGCCCTTTAGGCACATGCTTCAGGTGCACAGTCCGGGATCCATTTAGGAACTGCCATGGCCACAGAGCCCAGTTTAACTTGCACGGCCAACTAGCTCCTTGGCTTCCTCAAGGATTGTGGGGATTCCTTCACTGTTCTTGGGCACCTTGGCAGGAACAGAAGACATGGCATCGTCCTTGGTCAGCTCCGAAGCTAGCAAAGATGTGACTGCACACCCGGCCTTTCTGTTGGCTGCAAGAGAAGACATGACAGATCTGTCCATGGAAGACACATATTCCTAATTTCTTTTTTCTTTGTGCTGATCCTGGGGCTTGAACTCGGGCCTGGGCTCTGTCTCTGAGCTTTTCTGCTCAAGGTTAGTGCTCTACCACCGGAGCCAAAGTTCTACTTTGGGTTTTTTTTTTTTTGTAGTTTAGTGGAGATGAGAGTCTCATAGACTTTCCTGCCCAGGGGAGGCTTTGAACTGTGGTCCTTCTATTTCTTTCCTCCTTTACAGCAGATATTCAGCAGAAGCCATGCATATATGGCTGCTTTGTCTAGAGTTCACATAGGCCCTTTACTTTGAAAATGGAGGGACAGAGCCTCAACATGTGGGATAGTTTTAAATGGAAAAGAATGTAAGAATATGGTATAAAAGAGCAAATCTTGTCCTTGCTCCCTTGTGTGATGATGGTACCAAGATCTAAATACAGCTACTCAGTAGGAACTGGAGAGAAAAAGTACTCAAAGTCCATTTTCTCATCATAGTTTACTGGAATTAAATATGCTAAAGCTTAATAGCTAATATTTTTTTCAGTGGTCTACTGAAGAAAGCTGTTAAGCCAAAACACATGCCAGCTGCAGGAAGGCTGTTATTTAGCAGGAAGTGGCCCTACATAGACTAAGATAACACCTGTAAAGAAGAGCAACAACACTAATATTGCATGCATATCACATGTTCCTCCCCATGTCTGCTTCTTTTCCACCTCTCAAGGACGCTATAAGGTATAGGGGTGTGTGTGTGTGTACTTATGTTCTCCTAATGCATGCATTGTATGGGAAAAGATGAATGTATGCCAGAAGTCAGAAGATCAAGGATGGCCAAGAGGGGATGCAGATCTCAACCCAAGTGACTAAGGAATTGTGAAGTTCTAGTTGCCATCACACAAAGCAAATGAAAAACCAATCAACCATTGAATTTCTCTTCAACTGTATTCATTTATGGAATTCAGACTTAGGATCTTATCTGGCAGCCCTTTGGTACCAGGCCCATTTCATAATGTCCTCTCTTCTCCTGTCTTAGAAGCAGTACAGAGAGACTACATGTACCCAAAGAGCAGCCTAGCTGAAGAAGACAGATACAAAAGGCCATATATGCCATGATTCCATTCAGCCTAGGCAAATCCACAGAGATAGAAAGCAATGGTTGTCAGGTTGAGAGAGGGGGAGAATCAGAAGTGACTGCTAATTACTAAAGATAGAAAAGTGTTTGAGGAGAAAGACGTTTACCCTGATTTGAACATTACAGAGTATGTGTACATGCACTGAAATATTACTAGATACCCAATATATTTTTTATGTATCATTTTTTAAAAAGTGATGGTTTGGAGATAAAAAAAAAGGTTCTATAATTAAACAGTGATTGAAGTTGCATGTTCTTGTGACTGTACCAAAAACTTATGAATCACACCTTTTAAAATGAATTTTAGACATAGTAACTAATTATAATTCAAATTTTAAAAGAGAGACAACTTTTCCTGGGGACCTGGAAAAGCTGGAGTGAACTAAAACCAGTTCCTTAAGGAAGAGTAGATGAAAATTAGTCTAGTACTCCTAAATGAAAGCTGCAGGATGTGAGCAGCAAGGAAGAGTCCAGAGGAGCCATGAACAAAGTACTTCCTTTGGACCAGCAAAAAGCTTGAGGTAGGCAGAAACCAAACAGGGTCAGAGAGGCCAAGTCTTCAGAAGAGCTGTTAGGCTCTCTGCAGAGCCATGACCCAGCACCACCCTTTCACACTACAGGTCATGCAGGGAGCACACAGGATGCCCACAGGTTACCAACTTAAAGGTCTCTTCCTCCTTCCCCTCTTCCTCTTCCCAAAAGCACAAAAGGTTATCTACCAAGAAAAGAAAGAACAGTGAAGACCCTGACTCATGCAATAGAACAGAGAGGTGTGACCTACACTCCAGGGTTTCCACCTGCCACTGTGGATTACACACACCAACACTATTACCTCAGCCACTGAGGTGAGGAAGAACAACCCACTTGAGTGCAACTATAGTGGCAACATGTGGGCCCTCCTACCTTCTTTTATTTATTCATTTTTTTTGGGGGGGGGGGTCTGGTCGTGGGGCCTGAACTTTGGGACTGGGCGCTGTCCCTCAGCTCTTCAGCTCAAGGCTAGCGCTCTACCACTTGAGCCACAGCGCCACTTCCGGATTTTTTCTTTTTCTTTTTTTGTTTATGTGGTGCTGAGGAATCGAACCCAGGGCCTCAGGCATGCAAGGCAAGTGCTCTACCACTGAGCCACCTTCCCAGCCCCCTCCTACCTTCTTATTCTCTCCTTACTGGCAAAATCTTCCAGAGGCCAGCTTCAAACCTTTTCAGCATTTCCTCTCTTTTCTAAAGCGTGCACTACTCCAGAGCCTCATTCCTCATCTTCCAAAAGGTAATGGATGGATCACTACCCCTTTACTGTTCTCTTAAATTCAGACTGCAGAAATTGAGAAGTATCACAACTATTAGTGTATGTGTGTGTGTGTGTGTGTGTATGTATGTACACATGAACACCTGAGTGTATCTGGCTCTAGTGGGTATCTAGTGTAGGTGTTGAAATAACACCTGTCTTACAGAACACTTGTCCTGGGTATGGCAAGTCTTAAGTTGATTATTTCCTTGGTTTCTTCCTCTATAACTTAGAAGACTCCTTTGGTTTCTAATTTAATGGTGCTTTAGGATTTTTCTACATCAAGAAGTTTTAGCCAGGTGCTGGTAGCTCAAGCCTATAATCCTAGCTCCTGACATGTGAGGATCTTGGTTGAAGTGAGCCAGTGGGTACACTGGGGATGAACATGATGTGAGCCAAGGTCAGGGATGGGAAAGCTCTAGCTGCAACTGGCAACAGAATCAACAGAACCCAAGCATCCTAGCTACCACTCTGTCCCATAAGGCCACCATTAGGCTGAGGAAAAACCAACCAAGGAAAACTGCCTTCTTCCTTTTTTCCTGATCTTTAGCCTAAGTTATGACTACTAAAAAGTAGCCACAGGACAAAGTCTGCATTTTTTTGACTAAACAGATGGATGTGAGATTATTCATTTGTTCACTTATAAGAGAATGGGCTCGGGCTGGGAAGGTGGCTCAGTGGTAGAGTGCTTGCCTTGCATGCATGAGGCCCTGGGTTCGATTCCTCAGCACCATATAAGCAAAAAAAAAAAAAAAAAGAGAATGGGCTCTCAGACTAGGGGGAAGGGGTAACAAGACAAACTTGAGGTACTGGTCAAAGTTCTCTAAGGCTAGATTTCTAGAAGTTGAGGGTAGGCTAGGATAAAAACATCTCCAAAATTAACCATGTAATACTAGGAGTATAGTTAGACATTAATGATTTGGAAAAGACCCTTATAAAACAAAGGCTAGGTAGGAACCGCTACTTAGGAAGAAGTGCTCTTTTTAATAAGCTTCCTTAGGGAAGAGGAAACTAGGACAGATGGGACAATCATTACCATCCTAAATAACTCATTTCTGTCTAAAGCTCTCCTAATTATACTTCCCGCCCTATTTTTACAAAACAGATGAAAGAGTAAGTAGTGGTATAGGATCATTGTTATTCACCTTGTATATAGACCCGGGGGTGGGGGGGGGTGGGGGGTGGGGGTTGGTCACCAGAAAAATCTCCCTGAAGTCATTTCACCATGTCCAAGACATATGAAAGAGTATTTCTGGCCCACACAGAGAGGCCAATGTCATCATTTGTCTAATCAATCATGTAGACTCAGTGGAAATAGCCCTGGACATGAATTCACAAAAGGAGACTATAGTCATGGCTCTATCATTAGCCAAGTGTACAGATCTTGGCAAGACCTTAATTCTTTTTATCTATAAGCAGGTCAGATACTAATCACTAGGTTCTTTAGAGCTAACCTAGACAGTTCTATTAGTGTAGGTGAAGTTAGAGGCCTGCTAGGAAGTGGAAGAGGGAAGGAAAGGAGAGAGAGCAATATATTTCTTTTTCTCTTGTCTTATATCCCAGTGAGCAAGCGGCCAGTGTATGAGAGGTTACAATTCAGTCATGGAGATAAAAGTTGAGTCATTAAAACCACAAGCTGACTCAATCATGGGCCAGAAATAGCAGCTGAAATACAATCACATGAATTCTTCCCCTTTACACTTAAACCATTGTTCTCCCACACCCTGTAGACCATAGCAGTTTAAATGCTGCTTGTAATGAACAGCCCTGATAGTAACTCCTCTCTTCCAGCTCCTCAATGGGTCTCTGTCTACTGGTTACTCCCTCCCATCTCCAGAGACCGGAAGATTTTAACATTCCTGCAGACTCTGGGGAAAAGGCCAGTGTCTGTGAATAGGGACAGCTGCCTCCTTGGGAATGGAAAGACTGTTAGGAAGATATGCTTGACAGTGATTCTAGCTCTTTGGCTCTGAGCAATCAGAGGAAGTTAAGAGTGAGCTAGACAAGGGGTGGAACAGTTGGGTCCAGAAGCCCTACAGAGAAACCTAGGCTGCTGGAGCCTTAGTACTTAAGAGAATTGTGCCTTCTAAGTTCCAATCTCTCTCTCCTTTCTTCTCTTAATCCTACTGCATGGCATTAAAAAAAAATACTAGTACTGGAAAGCACCTTAGAAAGCATTCTAGTTTCTTATTTTATACAAAAGAAAACATACAGGTACTTCTTTAAGGTAAACCTTAAAGCATGAGAACTAGATCTGACTTGGGGTCTTTTTTATCACACCCTAGTCCTGTGTGCTCTGCACTCCAGCTTCATGCCTAACCTCTTTATGTTCAGTGTGAGGCCACTTTACTTTCTAAGAAGCTTGCCAGAGAAAAAGAGTTGCCTCCACAAAGAGATTCTCCCAGACACCCTCAGAGTGCTTAGCATACCCTGAGACAGACAAGGGTACAGGCTAGAGTGACACCCATGTAATTCTCATCCTCCTCTTTTCAATTCAGTATTCTCTCTCTGTCCCCCCCTTTTTCTCCCTTGCTCCATCCATCTCCCGCCCCATTCTCCTTCTTCTTTCTGTTTTCCCTCTTGCCCTTGGACAGTATTTTGACTAATTTAGGTTGTTCTGTGCTGAAAGGGTAGGTTCTGACAAAATCCCTGCTTCCGCTGCCTGGTTTTCCACTTGGAAAGAAGGAGAAACAGGGCCTCCCAAGTATAGGGAAGCCACTGATGTCTGGCTTCTTGTGTACAGGAAGCATCTGGGATTCTAGTATAGCTTCACAGGAAAAGGCTTAAAAAGGGAATTCCCCACTGAAGTTGAATGTAGGCTGGAGCTTAGCTGAGAGAAACATGGAAGACAGTGTAGTAAGATGAAGTACTTTTCATTAGACTTAATATTTAATGTTTTTGTTGTATTTAATGTTAAGCCAAACCACATTGCATGGTGGGTGGAAACAATGCCGTGGAAAGTTCTAAAGACTACATACCAAATAGTATTACTAGTCATGTCTTCCACCCAAATGCCTATGACTGAATGCTCTAACTCAGTGAGTTCTAAGTTCTTCATCCCTACTTCTCCCCTCTAGCAATCTAGTTCTAAGGGGATGACCCCTAAAATGAGTATGAGTTTTCTTTTTAAAGTCTTATAAGGATATATTCAGAGTATAGGGAAAAGTCAGCCATCACATATGAAATGCACAGTGATCTATGAAATTTGGGCCAGGGCACTGAGTTTATGTGGGTTGGTATAGTCTGAACCCCTGATCCTTCCTAGGCTTTGACAGGCATTGTAGATCCTAGAGACATCACTGTATTAAAAGCTTAGCACTGCCCCAAACTAGATATACAATTCTTCTCTTTACAATAGCCTTTAAGTACATATCAAATGGAACTACAAAGCCTATCAGCCAGTGAGTAAGTAACCTCGCTTTAACTCTCTCACAAGAAGGAGTCTTTAATGATGTTTTGATGTAACTCTCATCCTTCAATCTGGGAAAGAAGTCATCATTCCTAGCCCCAAAGGATCCTCAGTAGATACAATGATACAGGTCATCCCCACATGGGGAGCAGCCTTGGCTACATCTTTTGAACTACCCATTAATTCTCATCCTAATGCCTGGATTATTTATATGTCCTATGTCCATAACTTTTTAGAGGCTCTGGCTCAGTGTAATCCACTTAAGTCTGTGCATGTAGAGGAGGTTGCACTGAGTGGGGAAGGCAAGGATAATGGAGTATAAGTGCATCCAAAGAAGAAGGCAGTTCTTTGACCAAAAACAATCCTTGAGATATTCCTCTATTTTCTTACATTTGAGAACAATGACATCTTACTACCTCTTGCAGTTGTTTTTTTTTTTTTGTCGGTCATGGGGCTTGAACTCTGGGCTTGGGCGCTGTTCCTGTGCTCTTTGGCTCAAAGCTAGCACTCTACCACTTGAGCCACAGCACCACTTCTGGTTTTCTGGTGGTTAATTGGACATAAGAGTCTCATGGACTTTCCTGCTTCGGCTGGCTTTGAACCGCAATCCTCAGATTTCAGCCTCCTGAGTAGGATTACAGACATGAGCCACCTGTGCCTAGCCTCTTATAGAATTTTATACTTGCTACTATTAGTTCTTTCTCTGTATGTCTTTTCCTTTAAGGTCTTTGACTTTTCCTTTGTATTTCAATCTACACCTAATACATGGTTCTCTATTTAGGTCAATTATTTTTTCATGTACACAAATGCCCACTAAGTCCTTTCAATGTCCTAAAGCATGGTTTCCTTGTTTCAAATTTCTAGAAAAAATATGAGTCAAATGAATTGATTTGTTACCAGTTTTCTCGTTAGAACTTTCTATTGTGGAAGAAAAAAGACTAGATAATCCACTTTCCATGCAAAAATAGGAAAAGTTTCTAAACCCTAGAGCATCATTATCTGCTCTTTAGTCCTATATTTGCAGTACCAGGAGTACAGAGGTTTCACACTCTTCAGCAACCAGGCTGGGTTCCATTTGCTTACTTACCCTGTCGGGGTCCTCGCTTCCGTCGGAACGCTGCTCCTGATTGCAAGGCTTCTAGAAGACTGTCCATCACACCCGTCTCATCACCCTCTGTCATGAACAAAGATAGAGAGGTAAACTCTTTAGTCAGATCTACTTGTCAAATGTCAAGCTTCACATGAAATGGCTATTGCTTGGCTTCACTCTCTGACAATGGCTGACAGCTCTGAAAAGTCAAGAAAGGCTCAATCTCAAGTCTTACAGGCCTGTGTTTACTTGTGTTTAAAAGTGGTGAAAATGCTTTACTGCCAACTATTCTGTGCAAACCTTGGGATATTTTCCTTCATTGCTACCTTCCCTATATTCATCAGTAAATACAGTACAGTATCGTATAGTCTCCTTAGACTAGATAAGCAGAGAGTCTGCAATTGTGAAATTAATAATCAATTATGCCACCCAAGGTGACACATGCTTGTACTCTCAGCTCTTCAGGTGGAGGCAGGATTGCAAGTTAAAACCAAGTTAGACTCCCCTCCCTCCCAAAAAAATCCAAAACAAAACAAATAAGGCAACTGTATCACTCCTTTGTCCTACAGTGTTTTACTCTAATATACATCAACCTCTCATGAATGCTCTCATTCAGAGAGGGTAATTGTTATTTCAATTCAGTACTGCCTCCAGTGGCTGCAATCTTCCTGAAGCCAGTTCTGCTTTTAAGAGAATCAGGCAGCCTGGCTGGAACACAAAGAGTTAATGCAGAATCCTAGTTGCAGCCTGGCTCAGTTTCCATGGTAACAGCTCAGGATAGTGAAATCTGAAACTGTGAAATCCCAAGGAGCAGGTTGGTTGCCAGCTGTAAGAAGGGCTCATTGCTCCTAGCGCCACCTGCTGTCTGAATATTACCAGTGCAGTTGACCTACATTCTAACCTCACTTGCTTGACCCAAGTACCATGAACAGGACAAGGTCTGGGTCCACTACGCCACCTGTTGACCGGGTGTGGCCCTCATCCCATATGTCAAACAGACTCCATCCTCCCTAGGGCACCCTAGCCAATTCAGAGAAAAACCCCAGATTGAATGGGACGATGAAGGATACTTGGTGTGACCTTCAATGGCATTATTGGAACAAGTTTGCTATTTATATTCAACGGAGGGCACTACTTTGTAGAAAAGTGTAACAGAGGTATTATAATAGCCCTTGCCGCTTTCGCTCAGCAAAGAAAGCAAGCACCATGATTTCTAACAGATTGAGAAGCATTCCCTTGCAGAAGGCTCATGGCCCCCCAGGTTCAGCTCAGTGCCATGAGCAACATATGCTGTATTTGCTGTATTTCCGCTGCCTGGGAGGAGAGGGGGCAGGGAATCTACAGCAGGAAAAAAGCAGAGACAGGAAACAAGAGGGCCAGTAATTGAGACCATATGGTTCAACAAAGACATGCTTCTGGTAGTGAAATAGGAGACTGCTGAAGAAAGAGAGGGCAGCCAGCTCTCTACTCCTTTCCAGAAGCTGTCCGTTTAAGATCTCATAGGTATGTGCAATTCTGCTGAGGTCCTAGGGACACTATACTTAGAGAAATAAACCAAAAGGGAAGAGAAGCTCCTATTCAAAGGTAGAAAGAGTCAAGAAAACACTTTTGGGAAAGAACCCAAAAGACTTAATGGAGGAATTGAGAACAGGCCAGAGGAAGCTTTGAATGGAAAGAAGGAAAGAGTACAAGTTATAATATTAACTCACAAGAGAGGTGAGATATAATGTGAAACCAGCAAAGGAAAGGAAAATTAGAATGTGTAAGTAACTGAACTGAAGTTGAAATCCAGCATCAAGATCTCAGTGGAAAGCTTGCCAAGAATCACTTGCTCAAACCTAAGACATTCTTTCTGGCCTCTGGATTTTAGAGAAGTCTCCCAAACATTCCTTTCTCAACTCATCAGTCATTCTGCACTTCTTACCTGCGTTCATATCTATGAGCTGCTCTCTCTTCTGTTGCTTCTCTAGTCTTTCCTTCTCTGCCTTCTCCTTGGCTAGCTTTGCTCTTCGCATCTTTTCTTCTGTTTCCCGTCGCTTCTGGTTCTCCTTGACTGCTTGCTGGAGTTGGGAGGGGGAGGGAGGGGGAAGGAAGTAGACATGGGTATAGCCAACACCAACTAACATAAACCCTGCAGGAATTTAACAAATAGCCCTTGCTCACCAAAAACATATTCCTAAAATTGTGCAGATCCATGAAGAATTCTTCCACAGTCAACTTCTTGGGATCAAAGACAAAGTAGTCACCTAGCTCCTTATACAAAGTCTCCATATTAGAATGCATCATCCTCAGCTTGTTATACTGCTCCTGTGCATCCTTAACAAAGCTGTACGTTCAGAGTAAAGAATCAAGACCAAGAAGCAAACAACCACTCCCCAAGCTCAGAGAATTACTCAGACACGCACACTGACACACAAAAGATGTCCAATAACATTGTTCATGATGGCAAACCACAGAAGCAATCTAAGTATCCATAAGAGTGGAATGGTAAACCATAATCTATATCACACCTATAGAATGGGAAATGGCAATTAAAAAAAAAGGCTATTGTGCAGACTATTGTAGAAACATGGCTAAGATATATTCTGCAAAAAGCTACACAATGCCATTTTTTTTGTAAAAATCAGAGGCAGAGGTTACCTTTGCAAAGGGGAACGAGTGGAGAAAGAGTGTGTCATGACAATAGCACAGAGTAGAAGAATTGAGGGGGGATTTTTAGTTTATCTGTATTGTTTACTTTCACTTCTACAACAATGAGAAATCTCTCAGGACCATGTATGTATTTAAATGAAAAAAATTTAAAAAAATTTAAACATTGCTATAATTGAACCCTTCCCGTTACAGAAAGTTTTTGGGGTTTTTGTTGTTCTCTCTGTCTGTCTCTGTCTGTCTGTGTCTATCTTTCCCTCTCAGGGAGCAACTCTTGGTTTAAGAAAGGATATAGTCATTTTTTCAACAAACTTGTCTTTTTCTTCTATGGCAGCTGGGAAATTCTGAATATCACGTTCCACATCAGAAATTTGTTTCTTCATCTGGTCTAGGTTCTTTTGCAAGTTTTCAGCAGAAACTACAGGAAACAAAAGTGAACAGCAAGAGTTTACTGGTAGTTTCATCCTCAAGACCCCATAGCTTCACTCTCCAGTCTGCCTACGCGTCCTGGTATTCAGGAGGCACTTTAGTTCTCATATGCAACTCTGTTCTAGCTGTTTCACATATTTACTGTTTTATCCTTGCAGGAAGACTGTAATTATTTGCTAACTGAACTTCCAGCCTTCACATAGTGTACAGTATTAAGAACAGAAGACAGACATCATTAAAAGAAATTTGTGAAATCCCGTGAGATTTTAATCTCACTTAAGTTTTGAGAATCAGGTTTGGGAGGAAGGAGATATATTTATAGGAATACAGAAGCAGGGCAGAAAGCTGTCCTATTTCTACTAAATGCTTTGTCTACTCCCAAGACACTGAGGCCTGATGTTTGTTAATCCAGCCTGTGCCACAGAAACTATGGATCTAGACTGAAAACACTTGCCTTTCCTATTATTTTTAAGAATATGTCAAATCTTACACTCCTCTCTTGAGCTTTACATACCATGCTTAAGCCCTCCATCACCCCACTAAAAATCGTCTCAACTGAAAGTGATTTAAACTCTATACTTTTCACCTGTGCAGAAACTTTTGAGGTTCTGAACCACTTTTTTTTGGGGGGGGGGGGCAGTGCTGAAGCTTGAATTCAGGGCTAGGGCACTGTCCCTGAGCTTCGTTTGCTCAAAGCTAGCATTCTACCAGTTGAAACTCAGTGCGACCTCCAGAGTCTTTTCTGTTTATGTGGTACTGAAGAATCAAACTCAGGGCTTCATGCATGCTAGGCAAGCACTCTACCCTAAGCCACATTCCCAGCCCCCTGAACCACTTTCTAGCTTAATTATAACCTGCCTCACCTCGACTGGCTTTCTCCACATGGGCAAGCTCATCAGGAAACTTGAGGACATCAGGATAGTCATTCTCACATAACTCAGCCAAGAAGTGCAACAATGTCATCTTCTGATCTGCAGACTTGGTGTCTCGAAGCTTGGGGCAAAAGAGGAAACCATTAGTTCTGGCTTGCCTAAGATCCCCTTAAGCCATCACTAAGCTCATAGTAGCCTGTAGCTTTCCCACTGGTTTCTTTGCTCTAACCCTATAGTTCACCTTACAGAGGAAGCTGATATTGAAGCCAAAAGCACCAGCATTCCTGGAGCCAGCATTCATATAGTTTCCCACAAGCAGGGTAATCTCCAGGAGGCTGGAGAAGTTCTCGCTCTTGCGCAACTCCTCACAAGCAGCAGTGACAGAGACGATCTCTGGCTTGATATTCTCCACTTGCTCATTGAATTGTAGCTTGAAGAGGATAGCATTGAGGCGAGGCCGCAGACGGGGCACCGTGCCCATCTAGTGGAGAAGACAAGCAGTTCCATTACAGCTAATAGAGAGGGGTCAGAAAAAGATACAGGCTGAGTCTCCTCTGGGAGAAGAGAGAAGACAAAGACATGTTCAAAACAGACAAGAAGCAAGGAGCAAGTGTCTAGGCTCATCTCCAGGGAGGAGGGCAACAGGGAATTGAGGCCTTACCACTACACCAAATTGCTCTGACTCAGCCAAGTCATCATATTCATCCTTCAGTTCGGAGAGCATTTTTAACTGCTCTGGCTCTGGCATCTGCTTAATGAGATTCTGAAAGAGAGAATGGATTTTTTTTTTTTTTGTGAAAGAGATCAGCTCACTCCAGCCTAGCAGACTGTGACTCTTGTTACCGCCCCCTACCCTCTGGTCCAAGGACCACTATAAAGAACTTGAGGTAGCTGGAGGTGGGATTGCAGGAATAGTGAGATGATGGGACTTATATAATATGTAACATAAACCTGACCACCAGAGAAATAGCACCTTCTCCAAAACTAGCATTTACAAGTCAGCAATAAGCTTAAGGCCTACTTAAGCAGGGAGGAGGTAAGGTTGATGTACAGTAGTGCAGAAGAGCCAGCTCTCCTAGAACCCTCTGGCTCCTTACCTGGATCATAGACTCTGTCAGAACAGCCTCATTCACCTCCAGGATGACATTTTTAATCTCTTGATAGGGCATGCGGAAGGAACCCAAAAAGATTGCTGCCAGAAAATGAGACAAAAAACATGTCTTTCTCAGTCTCTCCCTGCTCCCAACCTATCCAACAAGCTTACGGTAGCTAATCTTCCCAAGAGGGGTCTGTGAAAACCACTCTGCCTATGTACATAAAACCCAAGCTCCTGAGTCCAGCATTTAAGCTGTCACTGATTCCCACATTTATGTCACACAACAGACATTTGTCAGGAACAGACTGTTCCATGCTCAACATCCCACAACATCATGACTCCCTGCCTTTGTCACACAGGAAGTCTTTGGTCTTCTCTATCTATATACATCAAAGACACTATTTTAGTTCCTTAGTCCCATGACTCCATCCTCAAAGCTGCCTTTGCCTTGACCTGCTCATTCCAAAACTGCCATATCCCATCCCCTAACAAACACATCCTGTCCTTCCAAGCTCTGAAGCTTTCTAAGCTCTAACGAATTCTCTGACCTTATCAGGGGCTCTTCCAGTCTCCTGATCATCTACTCTGTTTTCTACCCGATGTTGACCTCACAGTCTCTCACTTTATTTGCTCCCTATTACTATGACTCCCATTACCATTAATACACCTACCCCTACTGCTCTTGCTTCTTGTTCCTTCCACTCTGGCTAACTTAGTTGTCTCATTTCTCTATTCATACTCCTGGGCTGATACATATAGTAGTCTCTGCATTTGCAGTGTTTTCACAAATAGCTGGGGCTTCAAGCAGCTTTGCAATCACTTTCTTCCATGCTCTTTACAGCTCCCACTCTCCCAACTGTCCCACCACTTGCTCTTTCAGTAAAGAGACATGAGTCCTACTTTTCTTCACTGAAAAAAACCTAAGGCATTTGATAAAATTCGTTATCCAGGTTCTTATTCCAATTAAAATCTGAGTATTGAGGGCTCTTAGCTAGAGACAGACTAGAAAAGGCTTAGGTAAGGACTGTTTTGGAATTAGTAGGAAGAAAGTTGTGCCAATACTTCTAAGTTTAATGTCATATACTTGCATATACACACTTCATGTACTCATGGCTCTACAGCACTTCTTCCTCATACACAGTCAACTCTCATCTATGTGTACTTTTTGTTGTTGTTGTTTTTAATTCTAGTACTGGGGCTTGAACTTTGGGGCTTTGTACTCTCACTTGGCTTTTTTTTTTTTTGGCAAGACTTCCATTTGAGCCACACTTTCAGCTTCCCATTGGTTAATGAGAAATAAGAGTCACATGGACTTTTCGCTGTGGGCTGGGTTCAAACCCTGATCCTTAGGTATCAGCCTCCTGAGTAGGTAGGATTATAAGTGTGAGCAACAAGTGCTCAGCTAATTTTCTCCATTTTAAAACAAAACAACTTAGCCAGGTAGCTCACATCTATAATCTTAGCTACTTAGAAAGTTGAGATCTGAGGATTGAAGTTCAAAGCCAGTCTGGACAGGAAAGTCTGTAAGACTCGTATCTTCAATTAACTACCCCAGCCAAAAGGCTGGTAGAGCACCAGCCTTGAGCACAAAGGCTCAGGGACAGCACTCAGGCCCGGAGTTCAAACCCCAGAACCAGCACCAAAATAAAACACTCCTTAATGTCCCTTTCCAATGTTCTTGTCTTACTACTAACATCTCTCTTTCCGTCACTGTATAACATTCTGAAAATTTAATAGTTTACTTTCATTTCATTTATAAATGTTTATTTTCTGACTGACATAGTAAAAAGAGGGTATATGTAAGATTCAACCATGCAAAAAAAAAAAAAAAAAAAAGATTCAACCATGCCATCTCTTACTCATATTCACTAGATACCAGAGACAGAGAATCTGCTCTTGGTGAATTTTACTAGTAAATGGTACTGCTGTAAAAGGGGAGGGGTGAGGGAAAGGGAGAGGAAGGGAAGGGGTGTCTGGGAAGAGAGGGAGAAGGTAAATGAGGAAGGAGAGAAATATACATTCAGAATATCTCCTTTATCCTGTAATACTGAGTCCCATTAATTCTGTATTCTTTCTTATCCTGTGTCTTCCTTCTCATCCTATTCCCTTTTAGGCTCTGATTACCTCACCTTGTTTAAGACAAAAACAACACTCATCTTCCTGCCTATTATTTTTCCTGCCCAGTGATCCAGCCTAAAAACCACTACCAAAGCAGCCTTCCTAGAAATTATATAGGATTATAACACTCACTTTTCTGGATTAATTAATCAATCCCTTCAATAACTTCTCTACCTTTACTTAACTATACTCATTTACTTGCAGTTCTGGAACAAACAATTTTATCTTATAGTTCATATCTCACATGGGTCGGTCCCAATCCTAAAATGAACAACCCTCATTTCTTAACTTTTTCAACTCATTTTACACCAGCCCTTTTTTCACTTGTTTGGATGCCCTATCCTAGTGTTCTTATAGCTTTCTAGCGTAACTCTGTCAGAGCACTCAGCAATCCATGCTATTATTAACCTTTCTCTTTCCAGCAGACATGTGGTCCAAGAGGATAGTAACTATATCTACATAGTAGACTCTTAAGTCACTTTGAATCTTTGAATTCCACTCCCCAGACCATCCTACTCTCTAACTCAATTATTTATTTTTTGATTGGTTGTGGGGCTTGAACTCAGGACCTTGAGCCTGTCCCTGAGCTCTTTTTGCTCAAGGCTGGCGCTCTACCATTTTAGGCCACAGAGCCACTTCCAGTTTTCTGGTAGTTAATTGGTGACAGGAGTCTCACGGACTTTCCTGCCTGGGCTGACTTTGAACCATGATCCTCAGATCTCAGCCTCCTGAGTAACTAGGATTATAGGTGTGAGCAACCAGCACCCAGCTCTAAATTCTTTTTCATTTGGTTTTCTTATTGAGATCACTCTATTGGGAATAATAACATACTACATCATGGGTCTCACCACTTTCTAAAACAACAATCACTCATGTTTTATATTCCTAGAGATACTACTGGGAAGAGGAACTAACATTTTAGTCTCCATAAAAGGACTTATCCATAGACACTTTTTTTTTTTTTTGTCGGTCGTAGGGCTTGAACTCTGGGCCTGGGCGTTGTCCCTCAGCTCTTCAGCTCAAGGCGAGCGCTCTACCACTTGAGCTACAGCGCCACTTCCGGTTTTCTGGTGGTTTATTGGAGATAGGAGTCTCACAGTCTCTCCTGCCCGGGCTGGCTTTGAACCGCGATCCTCAGATCTCAGCCTCCTGAGTAGCTAGGATTACAGGCGTGAGCCACCAGCGCCCGGCCCACAGACACTTTTTAATAGTATTTGTTGATAATAACTAATCTAACATTATACATTCAAGAATAACGCTTACTGTTTTTCCCTAAGTCAGTGTCATTAGATAGGTGACTTTGTCCAAAACTTCCGTTTTCTCATTGCGAGAGATGAGGACAATAACTACATTATAACTGTGAGTGTTCAGAAATATATGCCCTTTCATATTTTGAAAGACATGTCTATAATGTGCACATCTCTCAATTTTTGGTTGTACAAAAATTTAAATTTCGGCTGGGAATGTGGTAAAGTGCTTGCCTATCATACATGAAAAGCCCTGGGTTCAATTCCTCAGTACCACATAAACATAAAACAAAAGCCAGAAGTGGTGCTGTGGCTCAAGTGGTAGAGTGCCTTGAGCAAAAGCAGCTCAGGGAGGGGGCTGGGAAGGTGGCTCAGTGGTAGAGCGCTTGCCTTGCATGCCTGAGGCCCTGGGTTTGATTCCTCAGCACCACATAAGCAAAAAGAAAAAAAAAAGCCAGAAGTGGCGCTGTGGCTCAAGTGGTAAAGCACTAGCCTTGAGCTGAAGAGCTGAGGGACAGCGCCCAGGCCCAGAGTTCAGGCCCCACGACTGGACCCCCCCCTCCCCCCCCCAAAAAAGAAGCTCAGGGACAATGCCTAGGCCCTCAGTTCAAGCCCCAGGACTGGCAAAAAAAGAAAATAAAAAAATTTTTTTAAATAAAAAAATTTAAATCTCTTACTCAGCATAAAGTAAATAAACAGCTGAAATAAACAACAAAAAGAGCCATTCATCTGACCACCAATAAATATTACTTATATCAATTTTGGAGGAAATTTCTGCCCTGAAATTTTTTTAAATCAGAGTTCTGAATATACGTAGCAAGTTCAAAAGCAAAGAACTTGGTATCAAGTCCAATACTCTCTGGAGGTAATGTCCTATTTTGTGAAGTACAAAACTTATCTCAATTATTCTAAACTGCAGAGTACATTTAAATTTAATTGAAGCTAGTCTAGTATCTGTCTTACTGATCACAAAGGGAAAAAGGAAGAAATATACTGTGGCTTGAATACCTGTGGTAGATTTTCTGTGGATGCTGTGAAATGAAGTTTCCTACAAGCTCTATGATTAGGCAAATTCCTGAGTCTTAGAGCCTGTTTCCTTGACATAACTTGCAGTGCTTCCAAAAGGATTAAACTAGATGCTGGAAATTTACTGTGTTATGCTGCCTGGCACAGAACAGGAATTCACAAATGGAAGTTTTATATCAAGGGACCTTAGACACAAGAAAATTAAATTCTCAGTTACTCAACAGAGATTATGTGTTATCTCTGAACCCAACTTTTTTTTTCTTTTCCTGGTGTAGGGGTTTGAACTCAGGGCATCATGCTTGCTCAGCTGGCACTCTATCTTGAGCCATGTTTCCAACTTGACTTTTTGATTGTTATTTTAGAGATAGAGTCTCATGAACTTTTCTGACTTTGAACCTTGATCCTCAGGATCTTAACCTCCAGAGTAACTAGGATTATAGGAGTGAACTATTGGGGCCTGGCTTGAATTCAACACTTTAAACTCTTCTACTGTTGTTGTTGTTGTTTAAATTGTTCATTTGTTTTTATGTTTATCTTCTTTTTATCAGCAGACATTCAATGTACAAAAGGTTTCACTGTGACAGTTCTATACACACAATGACTGCAACCTGATCCAACTTACCCCCTCTATCCATGTCTCTTATCTCCCTACCCACTTCCTAAATGATTTCAACAAATTTCATTGTTCTATTTTCATACATGCAAACTTTGACCATATTCATCTACATTCACCCTCTATGTTAACCCTCTCCTCTCCTACTAGTACTTTCCCCAGCTCAAAAGAGGCTATTTTACTTTCCTATCATTCATTTTGTTGTGTGTACCAACATGCACAACATGGACACGCACTTACATTTTAAACAGACTAACCTTCTCTATTGCTTTTTTTGTCCCTTCCCCACAACTCTTACTGATCAACAGCTTTCATTGAGATTCCTTTTGCTATATTCAGACATAATGTTCGAAATTACTCACCCTCCATTACACTCCCTTCTCCTTTCTTTCTTATCCTCAACAGTCCCTACAGTGAGAATCAGATTCTATGTATATGTATACATTGTATATATTTATATAGGTGTAAAGATATGTCCATGCCCATGAATACGTATATCTCTTACTTCTAGCTTCCACAAAAAATTGAAAACATTTGGCTTTTTTTGGGGGATGGGGGGAAGGGGGCACGGAGATTCCTGGGGCTTGAACTCAGAGCCTGGGTGCTGTCCCTGAAACTTTGTGCTCAATGCTAGTGCTCTGCCACTTGAGCCACAACTCCACTTCCATCTTTGTTGTGGTTAAAGCCTAGGCTGACTTTGAACTGTGATCCTCAGATCTCAGCCTCCTGAGTAGCTAGGATTACAGATGTGAGCCACTGATGCCCGCCAGTATTGGCTTTTTAACCTTGGCTTATCTTGCTTCATATAATGTGCTTTAATTTCATCCATTTTCCTACAAATGACACTATTTCATTTTTCTTTATAGTTATGTAATATTCCATGGTGTATATACACTCAAGAGAATTAAGTCCTTGGAGAAGAATTCCTTCATATTTCAAATAGGATTATAGAGTTACTCACAAAGATTCTGGGCTGTCTTTGAATCCAACACCTTTAACTCTTTTACTTTTTTCTTTTGCACAGATTTCTTTTCTTCTCCACCTTCCTGATCCTTCTTGGCTAGTGAGGGAAAGATCAGAAAAACATGGTTAAGTATAAGCCACCCCTGTCTTATTGAACTATTTTTCAGCCAAACTGGCCTTTCACCTTCTCTCCATTATAATGGTCTCCTCATTGTATTCTTCTAATCTCTTTCACTAGCCACTCTTCTATTACTGACTTCCCACACTAGAAAACCATTTTCATTTAATTTACCAATAATGTTTTCCTACTATATGTTTTCTATTATACCATGTATTTATACAGATTAGAAAACATTCTGTAAAGAACCAGATAATATTTAGGCAGTGGAGGCCATATGGCCTTTCTCAATTTCTTAACCCTGCTACTGTAGCCTGAATGCATAAGACACTAAATACTGTGTTCTAATAAAATGTTATTCATAAAAATATTCAAAACAGTCAATTAATGAAGAGTAGCTTTTTAACCCCTATTGCCATAGGCTTCCATTGTTATCCTTTTGTCTATTAAAAATTCTCATCTCTCTTGGGCTGGGAAGGTGGCTCAGTGGTAGAGCGCTTGCCTTGCATGCCTGAGCCCTGGGTTCGATTCCTCAGCACCACATAAGCAAAAAGAAAAAAGGCGGAAGTGGCGCTGTGCTCAAGTGGTAGAGTGTTAGCCTTGAGCTGAAGAGCTGAGGGACAGCGCCCAGGTCCAGAGTTCAGGCCCCACAACCGGACCCAAAACAAACAAACAAACAAATAAATAAAATTTCTCATCTCTCAAGCTCTATCATGAATTTAAATGACTTCCTCTATATAAAATTTTTCTAACTTTCTCTAAATGCCTATGATCTCGCCTAATTCCCAGTGAATTTAATACCTCTTTATAGCATGTCCTCTCACTGATATTGCTATAAACATATATCTTCTTTCCTCTACAAGGGCTTTGGTATTTATCTTTGCAAATGCCATGGCATAACATTCTTACTAGGATCTTAACGTTCAAGCATCACCTTGGTGAATACATAGAAGGTATACATCTTTCCTTCTACTCTTATCCAAAGCAGTATATTCATCCTTTTCCATGAAATCTTCTGCTTTGCTAAGCTAATATTTATGGTATTTGCTATATAAAATTTATTCAATAATTGTTCTATTTTGTGGCTTTTTGTATGTATCTTCTTCCTATTATTATTATTATTTTGTGGGTCATGGGTCTTGAACTCTGGGTCTGGGCGCTGTCCCTGAGCTCTTCAGCTCAAGGCTAGTGCTCTACCACTTGAGCCACAGTGCCACTTCCAGTTTTCTGGTAGTTAATTGGAGAAAAGAGTCTCACGGATTTTTCTGCCCTGCCCCAGCTGGCTTTGAACTGCAATCCTCAGATCTCAGCCTACTGAGTTGCTAAGATTATAGGCGTGAGCCACCCGGCTCCTCTTGTTATTTTTAAAGCCTGTGTTACTATATACAGTATATACTTTGTCTCAACACACACACACACACACACACAATGCCAGACCTGGGGCTTGAACTAGGCTCATCTTGTTATTTTTAAAGCCTGTGTTACTTTATACAGTGTATACTTTGTCTCACCACACACACACACACACACACACACACACACACACACACGCACGCACTCCAATGCCAGTCCTGGGGCTTGAACTCAGGCCTGGGCACTGTCCTTGTGCTTCTTTTGATCAAGGCTAGCACTCTACTAATTGAGCCACAGTGCCACTTCCAGCTTTTTCTGTGTATATGGTGTTGAGGAATCAAATCCAGGGCTTCATGCATGCTAGGCAAGCACTCTATCACTAAGACACATTCCCAGCCTGTCCATCTCATCAGATTTTGAACTTTAAGGACATGAGCAAAATAATACTTCATTATACCATTCCCTCAGTAGCTAGTCCTATAGTAATATTCACCAAAAATGATTGACACTGGTTCTTAGGATGTTGAGCACAAAAAAGGAAACAGAAACTGTTATAATTGTAGATATAATTGCAGATATAATTGTAACAATTTTTCCTATAGGGTGTCAACATTTTAGAAATGGGAGCTATGGGAATAGTTCTAAAAGGAAAATCAAGAAACTTTACTAGCCAGGCGTTGGTGGCTCACACCTGTAATCCTAGCTACTCATGAGACTGAGATCTGAGGATCATGGTTCAAAGCCAGTCAAGGCAGGAAAGTCCATGAGACTCTTATCTCCAATAAAACACCAGAAAACCGGAAGTGGCACTGTGGCTCAAGTTTAGCCTTGAGCTGAAGAGCTGAGGACAGCACCCAGGCCCAGAGTTCAAGCTCCATGACCGACAAAAAAAAACTTTACTAAACTGGTTGCTTTTAAACAGAGGATATTAAATAGAAATCAAGTTTCTATATTTCATAAAAATTAGCAAAACACTGATCTCATAAGACTGAAATAAAAGTGTCATGTCTATTATAAGAGCAGCAACTTGAAAGTACCGAAAATCAATCAAAGTGGAATATTAAAAAATGCTCAGCGAAGTCAAGTGTATTGGTATATAGTTGCAATCCCAGCACTCAGAAGACTGAGGCAAGAGGGGTTTGAGCCCTGTCTGAGCTACACATAATGAGTTCCAGAACAGCCTGGACTACTTAGAGAGACCTTGCCTTAAAAAACAAAAACAAGGATAAAATGCATGCAAGAAAAGGCACAATAAAGTGATTTTTAAAAAAATAAGTGAGATTAAAAAAAATCAGCAATAGTACTTAAGCAAGAGGAGGGCATTGGGCAGGTGGCACAGAGAACAATTTCAGCCGGGCGCCACCAGCTACTCAGAAGGCTGAGATCTGAGGATCAAAGTCAAAGCCAGCCCAGGAAGAAAAGTCCTTGAGACTCATTTCCCACCTGAAAGTGGAGCTGTGGCTTAAGTGGTAAAGTACTCTCCTTGAGCAAAAAAAAAGCTCAGAGATAGTACTCAAGCCCTTGTTCGAGCCCAATAACTAACTCCTTTCCCCTTGCCCCCACATACACACACACAAAATGAAAGAAAAAGAAATTTAGCTCAAAGACAGGTACGCTCAAAATAACATACTGAATAAATAAACCATGCAAATGATTTTTAAAACAGTGAGAATAACTAGAACAGGGCATGATAGAGATTGGGAAGACAGAGTTTCAAGATCAGCCCAGGCAATGGAATAAGGCCCCAAGTTCAAACCTCAGAACCATCCCTTTCTAAAAATTAAAAAAAAAAGAGCTGGGTATAGTAGTGTAATCCTAGTTACCACTCCCCAAAAGAAAATGTTTATAGCAGAATCATAACAAATAACAACCAAGATGTATATACAATCTAATTAATGCCTGTCAACTGATAAATGACAAAACAAAATATACTATTATCACACAATAAATACAAAAAGGAATGAAATGTTGATACATGCAACACAGATGAACCCTGCAAACATCACGATTAGTTAAAGAAGTCAGATACAAAGGGCATGTATTAGGTGGCTCTGTGGCGCAATGGATAGCGCATAGGACTTCTAGAGACAAAGGGCATGTATTGTATGATTATATTAATAATGAAATGATAGGCAAATCTATGAAAACAAAGATTAGCAGTTGCCATATTGAGGGAAACAAGTAGAGCCTAGTAGTGGGTCAGAATTCCTATGAGTACAATGAGAATGTTCTAGAATTAGTAGCAGTGACTGTGTAACCACTACAGTATAAGTAACAAATTTTGTATTATGTGAATTCTATTGATACAATAAATATTTATATGCATATTCACAGTCACATATACAATTATAGAAAATTCTAAATAGAAAATACAAAACAAGCCAGGCACTAGTGGCTCATGCAGATGGTCCTAGCTACTCAGGAGGCTGAGATCTGAGGATCATGGTTCAAAGCCAGCCCAGCCAGGAAACTCCGTGACACTTTTTTTTTGGTTGGTCGTGGGGCCTGAACTCTGGGCTTGGGTGCCGTCGCTGAGCTCTTCATCTCAAGGCTAGCACTCTACCACTTGAGCTACAGTGCCACTTCCTGCTTTTTCTGCTTATATGGTGCTGAGGAATCAAACCCAGGTCCTCATGCATGCAAGGTAAGCACTCTACCACTGAGCCACCTTCCCAGCCTCCTCTATGACATTCTTCTTCTTTTTTTTTTTTTTGTCGGTCGTGGGGCTTAAACTCTGGGCCTGGGCGCTGTCCCTCAGCTCTTCAGCTCAAGGCGAGCGCTCTACCACTTGAGCTACAGCGCCACTTCCGGTTTTCTGGTGGTTTATTGGAGATAGGAGTCTCACAGTCTCTCCTGCCCGGGCTGGCTTTGAACCGCGATCCTCAGATCTCAGCCTCCTGAGTAGCTAGGATTACAGGCGTGAGCCACCAGCTCCCAGCTCTATGACATTCTTTTTTTTTTTTTTTTTTTCTGGTTATGTGGTGCTGAGGAATCGAACCCAGGGCCTCATGCATGCAAGGCAAGCACTCTACCACTGAGCCACCTTCCCAGCCCTCTATGACATTCTTATCTCCAATTAACCACCAGAAAACCAGAAGTGGCACCGTGGCTCAAGTGATAAAAGCACTGTTCTTGAGCTGAAGAGCTCAGGGACAGAGCCCAGGCCCCATGACCAACACACACACACACACACACACACACACGAAAGACAGAAAGAAAGAAAGAAAGAAAGAAAGAAAGAAAGAAAGAAAGAAAGAAAGAAAGAAAGAAAGAAAGAAAGAAAGAAAGAAAGAAAGACAGAAAGACAGAAAGAAAAAGACAGACAGAAAGAGAAAGAAAGAAAGAAAGAAAGAAAGAAAGAAAGAAAGAAAGAAAGAAAGAAAGAAAGAAAGAAAGAAAGAAAGAAGAAAGAAAGAAAGAAGAAAGAAAGAAAGAAGAAAGAAAGAAAGAAAGAAAGAAAGAAAGAAAGAAAGAAAAGACGAAACAAACTTGCCTACCACTTTATAGTAGGCAACAATTTCTTAGGTTAAGATACAAAAATGTAAATCACTAGAAGGGAAAGAGGAAGAGAGGGAGGGAGAGAGGAAGAGGAAGGGAAGAAGGAAGGGAGAGGGAGGGAAGGAAGA